ATGCAATGCTGTTATGTAATAAGAATAGGTTATGTTAGGTTAGAATCGCTCTGTTGTAAAAATGAAAACAAACCCTACACGCTTGCGTCAGACGTTATGCAGCCGATATCCATCCATCTTCGAGTAGATATCTATTCGATAACTTATGGAACCAATAAGCTTTAAACAGACGTTGAGAAACCCAACAGACGTGATTTTGGTAGTTTATGAGACTCATAAGCTTATGTAACCGATATGTTGGAGTTCGGAAACCGGGCATAACTCATGTAATCTCAATATAAATTACATCTCTAGGTTTTTTAATTTAATAAATACCTATTGTAAAGATAAATTCATGTGCTTTATTTTCCCGATTTGCCCTAGTTTTCACACGAACACAATTTTAGCAGGCGATTTGAATTCACTTTACGAACTCTGTGATTTCCGTTGAAGTTTCAATAATATATCGAGTATCTCATGTTGCCCTTTAATTGTGATGTGAATTGAAGCCCTAGCATAAACATCACAATTAAGGAACAAGATGAAATGCTTGAAATGTTATTGAAACTTCAACGGAAATCACAGTCATAAACTGAAATCAAATACCCCGCTAAATTTTGATGTGAACCCAATCGATAAAGAAGATTTCTTCTGCTAGTAGTGGAAATTAGAGTTTAGTTTTGATTGCAGCCGGTGATTTAAGCGACAAATAGCATTCTGCAGGCGTATATGTCAGTTTCCAATCACTTTCCAATTTATAACCTCTGTGATCTGTGATTATAATGAAGCAAAAACAGCGAAAATGAGTCGTCCGGTAGCCGCCAAGTCCCCGGGTGAAGACGCCGTTGATAAGCAGGTTGTAGACAATGTGGCCAAGTGGCATTCAGCCGACGCCCCATTGGCCCCTTTGACTGAAGTGCAAGTGGACCTGGTGTACGAATTGGGCGATATGGTCGCTTCAATTTACTACCCCAAAAAGGAGACTTCACATGGAGTGGCGGCCAAGAAAGAGGATCACCTGGGGCACATGCCAGTTGTGAGCAATAACAGAGATTTCATCCGCTGGATGATAAAAGTGGAGACCGACATCCAGCATGAAAACTTGAAGAACTTCGAACAGTATTACAAGCGGTTGGAAAAACATCTGCGGAACTGCGAAACGGTGTCGAAGCATTCGGAGTACACTGTGGACTCGATAGGCAACTTGAAGGGAACGTACCAAAATGTTATTGAGAAAACCAACTACTTACACAACTTGAGTGAGCAGTTGATGGTTCAACAGCGAGTTCTCAAGGAGAAGAAGAACGATATTAGGTGCAAGCTGAAATACTTTGTTTATTTTCCCAAATGCCAGGAAATGGTAGACCAACTGGGGCAAGCAAGGGTAAATACCAACGAATATACTGAAGTCTTAAACAATATAGATAATTCCATTGAGTATCTGGAGAAGAATTCGAATTTCAAAGAATCCAAAGTATATAGAATGAAATACGAAAGCCTACTGGGAACCGCTTTGTCTTGTGTATACAATTACGTGTATCGAATAGTCAGTGAGACTACCAAGCAGCTTGTTAGCGTGGACGAGTCGCAAACTTCTGCTAATACAGACTCAGTCTTTTCGCTCTATTATGGCAAGTTCCAAAGCGTGTCCATTAAAGTAAAGCTGATTTTGGACTACATTGAAAGCAAGAACGATCTAAACAGCTACTACAAGAACACGTTATATGATTGCCAAAAGGCATACTTCACGCAAAGGCTGCCCATTTTAGAAGTGGCAGTTTCAAAGGCTTTGCTCGACATCAAGAGCAGGCACAAGAATGACTATAGCGTGCTGTTCAGATCCTGCTGCCTCTTCATCATCAAAGTTTGCATAGATGAAAGCAAGTGTTACAGCTATTTCTTCAACAGTGCCTGTCCTCAGTTGCATGAGTATCTGGGATCGCTTTGCCAGCACCTGTATGATACATTAAGGCCCTGCCTGATTGTGATCAATTACATAGAAATTCTGTCCGAGTTGTGTGGAATCTTGAAAAACGAGATGCTGAGCGAAAAAGTGACTGGGGAAGACCATCTGAGTAGATACGTGGAAGTGATCAGGCAACTTCTGGAGGATGTAGAAGAGCGATTGGTCTTCCGGACAAACGTCTTCTTCAAACATGATTTAAATGACTACAGACCGTCACCTGGAGACTTGGCTTATCCGGAGAAGCTTCAGCAGATGGAGAACATTGTGCTGGAGTTGAGAGAAAAACGGCCGGAATCTAGATCATCAGTGGTGTCGCTTGAATCCCAGGAAGTCGCGCAAATCAACGCTCCAACCACTGCAACCCACCTAAGATCCTACACAGGCAATTCCCCAGCAGATTTACATGGGATGTGGTACCCCACTGTTAAGAGAACCTTAGTTTGTCTTTCGCGGCTCTACTTCTGTTTGGATAGAGACACCTTCCAAGGCCTAGCTCAAGAGGCTCTGATAGTGTGCGTTCGGACGGTGCACAATGCTGCTGATATAATTTCCTCGAGAAAAACCCCTATAGATGGCAATTTGTTCCAAATCAAACATCTGCTTATTATCAGGGAGCAGATCGCCCCATTCCAAGTCGATTTCACCACTAAGGAACTCACTCTGGATTTCAGCAATGTGCAAAAGGCCGCAGTCGAACTGTTGCATAAACGCAATCTAATTTTTTCATTCAGCAGCAACAATGCACTGTTGGAGTTCCTGTTGGAGGGAACGCCCAAAGTGAAGGAATACTTGGTGGATTCCAGAAAGGAAATCGATAAGCAGCTGAAGCTCTGCTGCGAATCGTTCATAGCCTATGTGACGCAGCTGCTTATAGGGGGCTTGCTAGACTGGATTGAGAAGGCTGAAAAAATTTTGAAGATTATTCGCGTGGAGAATACCATTTCCAATGATTTAACAGTCAAAGGGCAAGGATTTGGGCGGACTGAAAATGTCGCAGGTAAGTACGGGAAAGTTAATGAGTAAACAGGGGTTTTACCTAGAACGATGAGTACCTATACGAAAAATCAAGACAGATTAATATTTTCAAGAGACCAATTATACACCAAAGCGAAAAACTTCTGCAAAACGGAAAGAACCAGAAAAAGCTGGACTAAATCGCAAATATTTTTGAGTAAAAAAAACCTTTTACTTAATAGAATCAATTGCCGAAATACAGGGTGTCCGGTAACGATCTGACCTAACTTTTATTAACAAAAAATGTCTGGCTCCTGCTATTAATGGTCCAAGTTCTTCAACAAACTTTTTTTTTAATATCGGGAGAATGGTACGATGTATTTTGGTGAAATTCGCTGCGAATCTGTTTTTATGTAAGATTCATATTTTAATGAAACAATCGAGTTCAGCCGTTTTGGACAAGTGGTAAATTCTCGAGTGTCGTGACAAAAAAACTACCAGAACTTTTTATTTGGTGGATGGAACCAACTCATTTTTTTCGTTTTTGGTTGATCATTTGTTCAAAATTTTGTGCTTTTGGAAAATCTTGTAGCATTCATAGTTTTTGCTAACAAAAATATTTCTGTTTTCTTGCCACTTAACAATGTTAGACCTTCACGCAAGTTGTCTTCGCAAAACCCTAATACTTCGAGCATGTCGGTCACGATAATTCCAGTTAATTCTAACATTGTTAAGTGATAAAAAAACCGAAATATTTTCTTTCGCAGAAGCTGAACGCTACAAGATTTTACAGAGCACAAAATTTTGAACAAATTATTTGTGCTTTGAACCAAAAAAAATGAGTCGATTTCATCTACCAAATAAAAAGTCGTGGTAGTTTCTGTACAACGACACTCAAGAATTCAACTCAATTGTTTCATCAAAATATGAGTCTTACGATTCACATTCCATTCACAGCGAGTTTCACCAAAATACATCGTACGATCCTCCCGATAGTTCAAAAAATATATTTTTTTTGAAGAACTTTTACCATCAATAGCAAAGGATCCAGCTACTTTTTATTAATAAAAGTCAGGTCTTCTTTTGATGCAAAGAACGTTATCAACGTTATATTCGGCCACTATTCTAAGGGCGCTCTAGGTGAATCACCCTGTATCACATTTGAACTTCACTTGTAGATTATAGATGATTGAGGGCATATTTTTCATCAAAGATGTCTTCTATCCAACATCCCTAAATTTTAAGACAAAGCACCCAAGGGAAAGGTTTTGAAAATACTGTTTCAGGATTAATAAAAGACGCTCAAAAAAACATGAAAACCAGAATTCCAGACGTGCAGCGATCGATGCAACTGTATTTGGCAAACCGAGAGACAGAATTCATCCTTTTCCGGCCAGTGAAAAATAGCATCATCAACGCTTTTATGCAGGTTGACCAGATCCTGCTGAAAGGCGGTTACTCGGCGGACGACCAGCTGCAAATTGCCTGCCCATCGCCCGAACAGATCAACATTTTGATTTGTTCTGTATCATTGACTATTGATCAAGAACCTTTAAACCATTAATTATGCAAATTTCAGGGTTTTTTTATTTACTGTGATGAGTGTAGATTTGAAACTAATAAAGTTTATTCCTGTTTAAATGCAAGTTTAATTTTAACAACAGCAGCGGGACATTCGCTTAATGGAAAAGCGGTCAGCCCAGTTAGACAACTTTATTAAGCAATTTAAAAAACTAAAAATCGAGAAAGGAAATTAGTTTTCTACCTAATAACTCGAACAACTAGTGGATTTAGTGCGGTATTAAAAAAATTTTTAACTACTTACAAACCCCGACTGAGTGCCGCCTATTCGCCTATCCATTACAAAGGAGAGTTTCAAATCAAAACTAGTCATTACAGGTGAAGCAAACATTGTTCAATTACGCTAAACGCCGTTGTTCAGATCGGGGTTGGTTCAACGGCTCTAGTTAAGTAGATCATTAAAAATAGAGGCTGTTCCTGTAAAAGTCATGAAGCAGTCGAGACACAAGCAGAAAATTAACTAGGAAAATACTGTAATTTTGCTTCCGGGAGGGAGCGACTTTCTAAATGCAAATAAGTTTAGATAAATGTGGGAACAGGAACCGTTGAGTTTTTGTTTAACATTTCGACAAATTAGAGTTCGTTCATCCGTAAATCCACCTAACTGAGTTAAATATGTAAATAGTAATTTAAAACACCTATAATCACATTTACACAGCGTCTATGACCATTCCATGTTATCCTGCGGTGCTTGGTTGGGCTCCGGCTTTGCGTTTTCCTGTGCATTGGCTTTCTCCTCTTTGGGCGGAGATGGGGCTTTCGGGGGCGGTTTGTTTAAAATTGAGTTAACAGTATTGTCGAAGTTGCACTTCTCCTGTCTGATTTGTGCAATGGTAATGGGCGGCGGAAGGTGCTTAGGAGCTGCACCTAATTTCGACCTGGTTTGCTCAAGCCACTGGTAAGAGCCCTGGAATGCCTGGTCAACTTTGCTTACTTCTTCGTCGGTCAAGTGGCTGTATCTCGGGTCGTTATTCCTGAAATTCACATCATCAGGAATTAATTAAACCACTCTTTAGTTGATGACCAAGTAAACCTATCTCGGAACACGTGCTACGAAAACTTCCTACATACCTGATAAGTTCTAAAGCTTTCACACACAACTGCAATGATCTGGCAAAATCTTCGACTATAGCGGGTCTCAGTTCGCACTCGATTTTACGTTGCTGAACTGGTTCGCCTTTGGACTTCAACTCAGCCAACTTGTCAATGTAAACCTGCAACAAAAGATCAGTTGTTGATTGTCGAATGAAAACCCCATAAAATTCCATTTACCTGCTTGTTGCAGTCCTCCCCGTCTTCATACAGCCAGGTTTCCATGTCGTCCAGCTGCCGGACGATTGTGTCGCGATCAGACTGGAGAATGTACAGACCAAGATCGTCTTCCGATTGCATCTTGCCCCTCAATTCATAGACGTACTCCTCTAGGGCGTTTCGAGAATCAGCGCGCTCCTTCTCCTGCTTGTCCGAAGCGATCATCTTGAACTCCTGCTCAGTGAATTTGTTCAGCTCAACGTTGGAAAAGCCGAAAGTCAGCGCCTCGATGGGCAGCTCCACGCTCTTGACCAGGCGCTTCTTCTTTTCCTTTTCGCCATCCTAAATAAATGTGTTTTATTAGTTTGAGCACAAGAACCCAGTCTGGTTTACACTTCAACCATCGCTGTAGTAGAACGACTTGAGTCTCAGCCTGTATCAGGAGCGCGAGTGCAAAAACAAAGTGAAGTTTAGAGTTCCGTCACAAAAAGAATATTTGTAAATAATTGCCTTTTAGTTCTGTAAGCTTACGCATGAAGCAACAGAATGTACGAGGTATTAATGAAATTGAACGTAATTTGCAGGTGCAATCAAACACGTTATTGGCGAAAAATACAAATTAGTGGAGGCGGAAAATGGGGTGAGACCCAGAAAGGTATTAAAATTTAGTAGTGGCTTTCACGTAATGACATCAAACCTTCAGTTTCCAACAACCGGATTTGCAAACGAAAAAAATGCACTCGAATCCCAACGCATGCCAATACAGTTCCCCTTGTTCTCTTAATAAAGCGCATACTGCTACCACACAAGTAGAATTACGCGAAACAACCGATGACTGAACATTCTAAGTACGTAGAAAACAAAATGCAAACGAGGCAACATTGAACAAAAAGTTAAATGAGCTGTACAAGAAAAGTAATAGTGAGTCTACGACCTACAATGCAAGTGAACGTGATCGATTTAAAACCGAATCGAGGTGGTCGGATAGACTACCAACACTAAGAAGCAAACAAAAACAGAATGAATGACTGGAAAGGGTCTCGCCCGACGGCCCCAGCGGCCGGCAGCATTAAAATGCGTACCCCGCTGAACCAGGTCGAAATTTTCTTAGTCCAGCTGGTGCCGGACCCTACCTCTGCCGACTGCTGCTGAGTAGCCTCGGCTCCTTCCCTCGGCAAATCAGTCTCACCCTGTTGACCAGCAGCTTGTTCGCCGTTCTGTTGCTGCTCAGCGGCTTCCGCGTTTTGCTTCTCGCTTTCGGGCGATTCCGATTCAGCTGCCTCTTTGGCTTCGATCAACGAAGCACTCGACACTGTCATTATGCCGTGAAGATTAATTCGGACCTTTACTTTCACCTTCTGGGGTTTGCCATCTGCAGCTGGACGAATATCCTTTACCAACCACGTACCTGAAAAAGAACATCAAAGTGAGTTCAGTTCAAGAAATCCATTGGGTGGGTCAGCGTCGGCAGAGGATTGAAAACTTGCAAAATATACCAAATTGGAAACATTTTCTTTCGTAAATCGCACAATCTTAAATGTTTTTCTAGTAACCCATGGATGGCCATATCCAGATCGAAACCGTTCTCGGTAGAACGTCCAGCGGCGCACACTGGGGTATTTGATATTGATTTCTGATCGAAATTGTTCTTTAATCAGATATTTCTTAAAAACGTTTCAAATTAAAAGCGGAACTTTCTCATAAAACGACATAAACATCACGTCCTTAAATATTGCCGCGTCTTTTTTCGGTTTTACCGCACAAAGTAGCAGCCAGTTTTTTAACCATGAAAAAGTTGGATGTTTACTGAGTAATAAGTATATGTATAGAAACTCAGATGAATTCAGGAAAATAATTAACTAAACCACTCTGTTCAAGTCACACTTTCCGTTTTTACATGATCTTTGAACCCTCTAATATAAAATTTTGAAAACTAATACTTATAAAGATCGCTTTTTGAAAATTAATATAAAATGGTATCAAAATTAATTCCTGGGTTTCAGTCATTTATTGTCTCTATTTACCAATCAAGATACGTTTCGGTGTATTTTTCCACCATCATCAGTTCATCAACGTATTTTAATTGATAGAGACAATAAATGACTGAAACCCTGGAATTAATTTTGATTTGGAATTGAAACACAGTCAGGAAAGTATATACAATAGAATGTTATTGTAGTAGGAACGTCCGGTATTACAAAATGTTCATGCCAAACCCCAACTCCCCAAAACGTTTAATAATTACCAATGTTGTTGTCCGGGTAGGGGATTTGCCCGTTATAGAACGCTTTGATAGAAAACGATTCGGATCTGTAGAAAGTCAGCAATTTAGAGAAAGGAACTGGATGGTTTACTGGGAACGCTTCTATATCGCCTGCTGTTTCACCGCCTGGACTGGCTTCCCACGCCACTTGAATCGGGTAGTTCTTAAAAAAAAATTAACAGTTACTGCCGCGAACCTTTCGCAGTTTTTGTCACTATACCTGGACATCAGTTACGCTGAACTCTCGCACTCTAACAGCCGGAGACAGCATGGCGCACTGTAGGGCGCAACCCCTAGAAACAGCCTCGTCTTGGTTCAAAGTCGTGCTTGGCTGCTTGTGGAACACTTTTTCGATCAGCTGCTTGATGGCGGGTATCCTGGAGGATCCACCCACTATCTCCACAGCATAGATTTCATTCAGATTCAAGGCTACAAGCAGAACTCTTATTTAGATCCATTCGCATAAACGCAAAGCGCTTGGAAAAATACCTGACTGCTGCAAGCACTTCCGCAAAGTATCCTCGACGCGTTGGAACAAACCGGCGCAAATAGCTTCCATGTCCGTTCTCTTCATTTCGCTTCGGACATCTTTGTCGTTCATGAAGCACTCAATACCCAAAGGCAGGGTGGTTGAGTTTGCCGACATTTGCTTCTTTAGCTTCTCAACTTCGGCCAGCAAGCGGATGTAGGCTCTGTATTAATATTATTTTCTTACTGTACTGGACCAAGATAGCGTCGGAAAGTCTTACCTGGCGTTAGACTTGGCATCGATGTGATACTTCTGTTGGAATTCGGCCGAGAAATGGTCAGCCAAAAGTCGATCTACATCTCTGCCCCCCAAGTGGGGGTCGGAAGCGGTTGCCAACATTTTCAACTTGCCCTTATTGAAAGCGCAGGCGAACACCTGAAGGGAGGCGTAGCCACAATCCAAAAAGATCACATTTCTGGGACTTTCTTCCGGGCCTGGCAGGTCCTGCTTGTATATTCCATAGGACAAAGCAGTGGCGGCAGTTTCATTGAATAGCCGCAATACATTTAGTCCTAGAACATAAGCTCAATTAGCCACCATGTAGCTGAACCACGCACTCAAATGCTAACCAGAAATAGCAGCGCAGTCCAAAAGAGCTTTTCGCTCATTGTTGGTGAAATATGAAGGAACTGAAATTACGCAATCGTTAATGGGCGTTTGCAATGCCGAAGATGCGGTGTCCTTTAGTTTGGTCAACACCATGGCCAAACACTGTTCCGGAGAGAAAACGTGTTCTTCATTCAAATAGTTTACCTGTAAAACAATGGCCTTTAATAAAAAGGACAAAGCCGATATGTGGACATTCTTACTTTGATTCCAATGTTTCCATTACGGTCTTCCAGAGCGTTGAAAGGAAGCCACTTGAGCTCGCGCTGTACATGGACATCTCGAAACTTTCGCCCGATGAGCCGTTTCAGGCCGTAGACGGTGTTCTTCATGTTGGTAACTTGCTGATTCTTGGCAGCCACGCCAAGAATGCGATTTTTGCCAGAAAACGCCACATAAGAACTGAAAAAGCAGGACAAGTTAATATGTGAATTTGCTCTTTCAGCCACAAAGTTATTACTACTAAAGTACTGGAGAAATATGACACAATTTTTGCCATTTGCTTTGTTCCTGTAACGAAATTAAAAAGATGCATTTGAGACAACGATTTTACTGCAAACAAATAAACCATGTGCAATTGTTTCTCGATCTTTCCCACGTTGTCCATCTAGAAAAATTACAGTTTCAAATGACACCAACATTTTAAGGCCTCGGCTTCTGGTTCTGTTAAACTTTTGGCAAGAAATATTTTTTAGTGAGCCGCCAAACACCTGTTAGGTCCATAAGAACATAATATGCGTCCGCAAGTTAGTTTGTAATGCAAATGACACAAACAGTAAACCGACTACCTAGTCACACTTATAAATGGCTTGCCAAAAAAATTAATGTAGTACTATGAACAATCAGCAACATACTATTTCAGATAAATAGCTTGTGATTTCGAAAACCTGAAAGTGTTAAAATTAGGAATAAGGAAGTCATAATGCCAAGTAATTCTCGCGATGCTAAAGAGCACAATCAACAAAATTATAGTTAACAGGGAGAACATTTGTTACTCTTAGTAGGTAGAACTTATTATTCACTAAGAATTTTCTTTTACACGTTAACAATAACGATATAGATTTGAGAATAATGCGCCAATTAAACATAGATGTTGCGGTAAATTTGAAAGATCAAGCATTTCATTTATATCAAGGCGGGATGGGACTGATACTCACGTAGATTACAATTATTGATAGCAAAAAAAATTGATTACATTGATTGCAAAAGAATTACCACCCTTAGGTATGCGCTGATGTCTACAAATCCTTTGCGAAAATGTCTCTTGAGAAATTTGCCATTTTTCTATATATAAACCGCTGAACAAAACGAACGTTACACAGTCAAATTTGCCCTAAATTTGGAAGTGGATAAATTCTGATTGCTTTAACCGATTTGGTTTCTGTTTGAAGTCTTATCTAGCCCCCATACGTTTTGGCAAAAATTGAGCTTCTTCTAGTCTAGTATCTTCAGAATATTCTTCTTACGGAAAAGTAGTGAATTTCAATAAGTTAAAAGTGGTCGAAAAGCGAATTTCCACCAAAAACGCCACTAATAAGTTAAAAAATTGCTCATTTTGTGCTGTTTTATATGGCAAACTTGCGTTAGTTGCAAATAAAGAATACGTGCTTTGTTGAAGCATCAAACGTTTTACTCATCCATAGAATTGTGTAACAGAGATAAAATTTTAACTACTGTAAGATAGCACCCAACATGCCTTAAATGATAATCTGGAGCAAAAGGAAACTAATGCCCATCACACATTTGTGTGATTAGTGAGTGCCTTGGGAATTTGCCCCTCAACTTGTGGATTACGAACGAATAATTCCACAATAAAATCTGGCCTTAACAACTACCTGGATAGTTAAGGGTGAACAAAGCAAGCAGTTACAGACTCTTATCACATCACCACACACCATCACAAATAGTTGGATTTTACAGGTAAAGACAATGCGAATGGATCACTGTAGTCTATATTTTAGGCATGACTTTCATTGTGGCAGGGCAAAAAGTTATGAATTAAAGAAAAAAATGTGCTGTGACTGATCAATAAACTTTCCTGAACAGCCACAAGCCATATAGGGGGATTACTGTCAAGGTGAAATGTGCACATTTCCATTTCGAGACATCCTCCCACAAGTAAGTTTTCATGGAACATTGCCCAGTGAATGGTTTTGTATGGGAAACATGGAAATACTCACGGTGTGGACCTTAAACTGTAATCATTGGCGATCGTTTCAATCCCGCCCGCTTTTGCAACGGCAATGTAGCAGGACTCGTTTCCCAAGTCGATTCCAATTACTGACATCGCGGCCATGTGCTGAATAATCACACAGAAAACTTCGAAATTCTACGGTATCAATGCAAACGTTTCCACAATGACTACGAACGTTAAAATTTGCGAATTTCACGACGATTTCACAACGTGCCGGTCCTTCCTTCGATAGGAAATTGGATAAATTCGCAGCGACAGCTGACAACCGTTTGTCAGTGAGCGAATGCTCTGGAATATTCCTGAACACCTGCTGATGCTCCTGCGCTCCTTTTTTAACACGCTAATTTCGTCACTACTGTCCAGTTAAAGCATTCATTGGATCGTTTTCTGTCCTTATTTAGTTCTAGAAAACTACTCTTGTGGTTTGTGGTGGTTAACGCACGTAACGATCCAAATCATCGATAAGAGAAAGATTTCTTTAGATCGCTATTCAAACACAGCAATTAATTGACAAAAGAAAATGTTTTCGCTATGCAGCAAACCAAAAAATACTTTTTGAACCACAACGACGGGAACACATCCGCATAATCGAAAAACGACCGAACATTGACAGACAAACCAAAGCAGCGGCAAACTTGAATACGGAAATAAATATATATTCGCTTCTTCATTAGCAAATTTCCTTTGAAATCCACACACCAACAAGCAACCGAATAATTCAAATTTGCCGCAACATTTGCAAGATGCGCTTTTGTTTTGTTGACACGATGGATCCAAATCTTAGGTTATGTCACAGATTACAGAGATCACAACCTCTGTGATCTGTGGTGGTGTAGTGTGTAGCATAGAGTAAGTAAAATAATTTTTTAATAAAATAAAATAAGATTATTTTACTTTCTCTATGGTGTGTAGTATAAGCCATGATACAAGGAATATATATTCCATGTATCATGGTATAAGCCGTGTTCTTTGGTGTAGTCCAGGTGTAGTCCAGGTGTTGTAAGTGTTGCAGAGACAAGTCTGTGTGTGTGTGTCTTTGAATGCTGTTTAAAACGTCCAATCAATGGATTCTAATGAGAGCGACGGATCTGGTAAGTAGCTGCTTTAAATAGCGCTCAACCAGTTAAAGAACATTGTTTTTATTGAAGGTTGTTTTCTGGAAGACAGCGATGCAGCCACAAGTAAACGTGAGAATGGTAATATTTTCGATGGTATTTTTTTTGTGGTATTTGGCCACAGTCCAGTATAAAAACTATTGACGAATTTTCCAAAAAGAGTTTAACTCGCAACTACAAAAGCCGAGTATTTCTAGCCCAAGTGATAGCTTGAAATACTAACATTGTTCAAAAAGTATCTAAAATGTTTGATTTAATAAAGGTTTTATTGAAGAATCTATGTCTAGATACTGTGATAGACGAATCGTACGAGTCAAGTCAACAAGATTCGAATTCATCATCCAACGAACTCGAGAAAACTGAAGACAATTTTAGATTCGGAAAAAGGAATGTTAAAAAGGTAAGTGAAGTATTTTATATTTTGTTTTCATCAGTCCTTTGTGTTCTACTATCTCTACAAAAATAGGACTTGAAAAGAGAGTTATTATTTATTAAACCACCACAATCTGTTGCAACTTTAGGTTCCCATTATTTATACTGATAGCGAGTCAGATTCAAACAGTCAATCTTCAGCTAAGATCGTCAATCTCTCCTCTTCATTAGAGGAATCTGAGATTATGTCAAGTGATTCCGAAGAAGTGAGTAGAAAAGTTAACTTTTGCTACTTTGCTTTACCTTACGTTATTCTAGCACATTGAGGAAGAAGAGGAATCTGATAATGAGGAACATAATATAATCGCAGACGTAAGTTTTCCATAAAATTTCACATTTCAATAATGAATTGAATATTTTAGTTGAAAAATCCGGCAGTAGAACCACCAGCGACAGTACTTGACCCTGACAATTCCATAAAGAACAGAAAGGCTGTAAGAACTTCTCAACAATTCAACTTCAATCCGGACGGTAATCATACATCTTTTTAGAATCTCTTTACCCGCACTCGCGTTTGTAGTTACTTTGTGGCTTGTGTGTCGCTTGGGGAACTTTTCGCGCTGAAAATCACAGCTTTTCGATTAGAAGACTATATTTCGTTCGCACTTGTTTTTTTCTTAGACACAAAACTAATTTTAAAAATAAAATAAGTGGTTACGCTTTATGTCCGGCGGAAAGTCATTTAAAACCACATTTTGTTTATCTACAAAAAAAGCCCATTTTAAACTTCGAACGCGGGGAAAGACAAAAATAAACTAGTAAATTATCATTATCCGACTGGAAAAAATTGATAAAGTCTCAGTTTAAAACGGAAAGCAAAGAAAAATGATACCCTTCGTAAACGAAAGCCAGTATTTTGAACAAAAAAACAATTTTTTTAGAATTATTCAACAGTACTACAGTTTACCAGAACTCACCGAAACGACCCACAAACTGGAGATTAAGTAATGTCCACGACATACGTGAAACCTCCAATGAATCGAGTGATGAGTGCCAAATAATCAATAATAGCAGTGATGTTATTGAGGTAAATACACCAATACCGACCGACGCTAATTCGCACTAACAGAAAATCTCCGCTTAGATTAGCACTCAGATAACTGAGACTCCGTTTCGCAAACGGCTGTTTCAAACCAGCCTCCGAAATACGCGCCAACAGACTTTAGAGTCTTTTGTTATGATAGAACCGGTCGTGAAGCAACTTGTGTCTAAATCCGTGTATAGCTCCCAACAGGCCCAAGTAAATAGCGCGAAATTCCAGCTTGAAAAGTTCAGTAAAATGCTTAATAATCTGGACATTGATTATTTACCCGATAAAGGCGAGTCAATTAAAAGCAGAGTGAGGTAAGATTGGAAATATCGGTATTTTTCGCAAACATCAACGTTCTTACTTCTCTTTAGGGCGGCTGAGGAGAAATATAACATGGAAGTGGCCAAACTGCAGAAAATGACTGCATCTGACGACATTCAAGATGTTCAAGGCCCCGGAGTTTTAGCCGCGGTTCCTTGGTCGCAAATAGAGGCTGGAGCTAATGCGGTGGTTCCCAAAACATTCGGCAAACAAGGTATCGAATTGTGGAAGTAAAATAACTATGTATTGAGCCCGTTATTCATTGCGCAGCTATGTCAACATATAATGCTCAAAAAGCGGTTACAATGGATAGACTGCAGCAACTGCATGAAGCTTTACAAACGTGTCCAAAAGAGGACCACCTGGAGGAGGACCCGAAAGGGCTAAAAGTGCCATTAATGCAACATCAGCGAAGGGCATTGGCCTGGCTTGTGTTTAGGTAATTGTTTAAAAAGTTGCTAGGAACTAATAAAGCATTTCAGTTTAAATTTTGTACAGAGAAAAGGAAATTCCCTCTGGAGGAATTCTAGCTGATGATATGGGTCTAGGAAAGACACTAACTATGATATCCTTAATTGTGAAAAGCTTGACTCAGGAGCAAGGAGAGAAGGAAGACAAAAATAAACGTGGATTCTTAGGAAAACATTCCAAGTATAATGGAGGTCAGTTTGCCAAGTTGTTTCTTTTTAAGAATGTTATCTACAATTAAATTCAGGTAGCTTAATAGTTTGCCCAGCCAGTTTAATCAATCAGTGGTCGGGTGAAATAGACAAACGACTCAAGCGAGGCCTGATTTCCTACAGTTTGTATCACGGGCCTAAAAGAGAATCAAAAGCCAACAAGTTATCCCAATACGACGTGGTTTGTGCAGCCCTTTAACGTACGAAAATGTGCGTTTACTAATAACTGGTTTGTTTATAGGTGATTACTACGTATTCTATTGTAAATAATGAAAACTACAAACAGGGCGCTCTATTTCAAATTAAATGGCGTCGAATAGTGTTGGATGAAGCTCACCAAATCAGGAATCATAAAGCTCAAACATCGGAAGCATGTTGTAATCTTTCCGGAAAATCCAGGTAATGTTTTGAAAAAATTACTCACCCCTTTGTCCCTTGACACAAAAGCCTCAAAATACATTTAATTATTAAAAATATATCTTTTCGTTTCATCTTGAAAACTGGGATATCAGATGGGCGTTGACTGGAACCCCTATGCATAATAAGGAACTGGACATGTATGCTCTGTTGAAATTTTTAAGATGTTCACCATTTGATGATCTGCAGGTAAGTTCGTCGTAATGGAAAAGGTCTCTTAGTTTTTAATTTCAACAAACGTATTGCCAGCTGTTTTCAATTAGAACGTTTCAGTTCAGCCCACCTAAAACCTGTGTCCCATGCATCCGTTTAGACGATGGTACGATGATGATGATGATGATGATAGTATAAACGAATGCACGGGACACGGGCTTAAGGCACGGCTAGTAATGTTTGCTTTTTTTAAAGGTCATAATGTGCATATTGCATAAATCTAAACCTCAACATGCTCTAATTCTTCCCTTTTTTACAAAGTTTTCAAAAATTGAAAGATGACTAAGTTTTTGATTATTTTTATCGGTAGTTGAACTCGCGAATACTGCCACACTTCAGAAAATGAGTGGGAAATTTAAAATCTAGTTAAATCAAATTAGGCAATTAGTGTTAGTAGTGAAAAAAAATATGTCTATTATTCGGCCGAGAAGGCTATTACAAACCTCGCACATTTTATCATACATATACTGAGGTGCTCGGTATATAATAGCTGACTTCTCGACCGAAATATGTATAATATACTATTATTTTTCTGTTATTATTTAAAAACTAGTTATGGAAACGATGGGTGGGCGATAAAGTGAGTGGGGGTCCCGAACGACTTCATACCATTATTTCGTCGCTGATGTTGCGAAGAACTAAAGAAGAATTGATGGGAAAAGGCATGCTAAACTGTATGCCAGAGAAAAAGTGGGTACTAGTCAAGGTGGAGCTGGATAAGGACGAGCTGAAGTTGTACCACAAAATACTCATTTTTTCCCGAACCCTTTTCGCCCAATTTCTGCATCAGAGAGCGGAAAAGAATCAGGATTACGCCGACCGACACTTTTCCGATGAGAATTGTGAGTATGACGGACAAAAAATGTGTTTATGTTGATTTTTTTTTCATTTTCCAGCCGATCCACCTAATGAGGAATACATTAAAATGCGAGAAAAGCTATTACGACTCAACAAATTTAAAAATGTTAGTCAACATGAAATTTTGGTGTTACTTCTTCGATTGAGGCAAATATGTTGCCATCCTTCCTTAATCAACTCGGTAAGTGACTCACTAAATCAAAGCCAAGATCTACAGTAAATGGTGTCTTCCAGATGCTTGAAGAAGGGCTTGGAGATGAGGACGAATCATCCGAAGAGCTGAATATTTTAGAACAACTGGAAAAACTAGACATTGCGGAAAAGCACGAGGATGTGTACCCCAGGATGGAAGAGCCAGGTGGCCATCCCATTGCAGAAATGGCCAGTAGCGAAGTCAAAGTAAACTTGAAGGAGGCTGCCAAAGGCCATTTACGGTCATCGGATGCAATATTCGCCGAAGAACGAGCCAGTAGCAAAGTGGGTGCTTTCTGCTAAATACAAAACGCCCTTTACAATGACAAACCGTTTCAGATAAAGTACATGTTAAAATTGCTTCAAGAAGAAGTGATTAGAAAGGGCGACAAAGCCATAATAGTTTCGCAATGGTCGTCGTTCTTGAACCTCATCCGTATTCATTTGAAAAAGCAAAACATCGAATTTGATCAACTCGATGGAAAAGTACCGGTTGTTAAACGAATGGATATGGTAAACAAGCTTAACGACTCCACGAATCCAATGAAAGTAAGTGGTGTTGATAGTGGCATTCTCTTAAATAAAACTGATATTGTTTAGGTTTTACTGTTATCACTAACTGCGGGAGGCGTCGGTTTGAATTTAATCGGCGCCAATCACCTCTTTCTATTGGACTTGCATTGGAACCCTCAGCTAGAAAACCAAGCCCAAGATCGAATTTACAGAGTCGGGCAAAATAAGCCTGTATTTGTGTACAAGTAAGAGATTAATAAAACAAGAAATTATTCTGTTCAATAATATGTTAAATGTTTTAGATTGATGGCAGTCGATACTATAGAGGAACGAATCAAATTGTTGCAGGACAAAAAATTGTCTATGGCAGAAGGCATGTTAACCGGAACAAGAGAAGTGATACAAAATAAAATGAGCATAGATGATCTTGCAATGATTTTCGGCGTTGTTTAGTACACACACAAGACGTTTTGTTAAGTCTAGTTTATGAATACTTTAATGATTTACTGTTTAATGTTTATGATTGCTTTTGTACAGTGGGTTAAATTGGATCAATTCCGTATAGCTAAACCAATTTTTTGAACCAAATTTTGTTTTAAAGGGATTTGACAGTTTGAACGTAAAATACACATGTGACTGACGTACCGAATTTAATCAATTTAAAAACCTCACCATGTAAAGAATAATGTATACTTGTTAGCAATAAGATAAGTCCATCAATTAAATTGTGACAAAAAAAGTGTCTTGGCAATGTTGGGTTTCCTCTATACAACACAACACAAACAAAAAATTCACAGCAATATTACTTTATTATTTATCCCTACAAGTATAGTTCTGTATACATACAACTAACAGGGTAAGACCAGTTTTTAGTTGAAAACAGGAGTACAGTTTTTACATGTAAGCCCACTATATCCGTAATAACTGCTTATTTACAATGCAAACCAATTTTCAGCCATCAGGGGCTTCCTCAATTATAACCGTCTTAATAAAGTCCAACTGAAATTAAATGCTCGAAATTGTTCTGCTCATTTCCATACATCAGAATGACTGATGATAAATGTCTGGTCACTTTTACTTGCCAAAGCATCCAATAAGAATTCACTTCAGGAATGCTCACCAAACATTATAAAAGTAATTTAAATTTATTTGACAAATTGAACAGAATAAATTCAAAGGCTTGATAAACTGGGCATTAGACAAATAAGAACCAAACATCTAAAACCATCAAGCTTAATATATAAGTGTATTGCATAGAAGTCGCACCTACCACGCTAGTATAAAAAGTCTAACAATCTACAGGCCCATGTGGCAGTTTCCAATCTATAACCTCTGTGATCTGTGGGTTATGTGTAAACGATTGTCAAAATTCAAGATGACTTTAAACTTCTAAAATCAGAAAAATCCAAATTCCGGTTCGGTTCAACATTCAAAGTAAAAGCGGCGAAATGGCTCAAAAGACTATATATGAAGCAGCGCATAAAGGCGACTTTTATGCAGTGGCGAAGCAACTGGAAGAAAATCCCTCATTATTGAACGCTAAAGATTCTGTAAGTTTTCATTACTGCAAAGGGCTTAAAAGTGAATATTCATACGTTACTAGTGCTTGAATAGCAACACTAATTAATGGAAAACGTCCCTTAAATGTTTACAGAGTCAGCGAATTCTGCTGCATTGGGCATCAGTAGGGGGCAATTTGAGATTAGTAACTCATCTACTAGATCTGGGAGCCGTAGTTGATCCTCTGGATGACACTGAAACAACCCCGTTGATTTTGGCCAGTTCGGCTGGCCACACTCAAATAGTAGGCCTATTGATAGAAAAAGGGGCGCAGCTCGACCAGCAAACGGCCAATGGACACTCCGCCCTACAGTATGCTGCTTCCAAAGGATGGTTTCCAGTAAGTGCCATTTACAGCCAATCTAAGCCCCATTTATCTATTGTAAATGGTTTCAGATATGTATTAGACTCCTAGAGAACGGGGCCAATATTAATATAGCCGATAAGCGTGGCGGCACGCCTTTGCAAAGAGCGGCTTCCAAAGGCAATTTGGAGATCGTCAAGCTGCTTTTGGAACACAAGAGTGATTTGAAGATCAACCACAGGGACTTTTATGGATATTCTGCCCTTCATCTCGCTTGCGAAGAGGATAGGCAAGATGAGGCTCTGTTGCTCGTTAAAAATGGGGCCGACTTGAATTTACAAAACAAAGACAGACGAACTCCTTTGGATCTATGCAGTAACCATTTAGCTAAGCTGCTAAAAGCAGCGCAACTGAACTGAAACTATATGTTAACTTTAATATAATTTAATTAATCAGCATTTTATTTTCCTTTATTCATCGAGGGCCCTCGTGATGTTGCCAAATGGCTGCTCGATAACGATTGGTTAACCTGATTTCCTTTGCAAAATGTTTTGTCAACTTGTCACATCCGGTTGATGTAGTGCAAGATTTTATCGAGTTTATTAAAACTATGCGGAACTAATAAATTGATTGGTAAGTACAAGAACTCAGCCAAGTACTCTCTTTCTTGTTAATCTAAATTCCGGCAAGAAATGGCGTAAACATGCATATTTTCGTTTGCGACACTTCAAGCCATGTCGGGCCATGGCGTCTGATCTGCAAAAGCATCACAATTAATGCGGCATATTTGTGTGTTTCAGATATTCGATGAGTTGTGGTTCTAATTAAGTTATGACCGATGGCAATTACGGAAAAGCAGATACAAATCGTCAACCATCAGTGACGGGCACTGAAATCCATGTAAATAGAGATTTTATTGGTTCCAGGGATCAGTGGTTTCCGGTTGCTGATTTAATTAACAATTTTCAACCAAACATTAATTTGGAAATGTATAATAATGTAAGTAATGAAATGAAGCTATCTGTGCTGCGGTTTTCATAGGCTAGTAGGACTAAGATGCATAGCTAAGATGCATAGCTAAGATGCATAGGGTAACAAAGACTTCATTGTATGAGTACTTGTACTCAGCCTCATAGTTAGAGCATGATATTTCTTATAGAAATTAATTCAATTCGGCCTGAGAAACTTATTGCCGATTACGATGCTGACACTTACATAATGTGAGCATGAGAATCTCTAGGCATTGTCCAGCAGACATGATTAAAGCCTACTGCGACACTATTTGGCTTACAAAAATACGATCTGATCTAACTTATATTAAAACAAAATTACTGGTTAATCTGTCATCGATGGTCAACAAATTATGTTTTTGAAATCATCAATTGAAATGTTTATGAAAATCCCGTTCATAGCGTTCTTGTTCGCGAAGCTTGCCAGTTTTACCAGCCATCCTCTGAGAGGTTTTTGGCTGACATCACTTGTAATTCTTTTGTACCCAGGTTGTTGGCCGTCCTCCTTTTTATATTTTTTTTCTGGTGGTATCCACTCCAGTGTTTTCCCCGGCAGCCTTTCTTCCCACATACGTTTCACATGTCCGTTCCGTATTAATTGCTGTTTTTTGATGTTTTCTACGATAGCTCATTTTACTTTCATTTGTTCGCTTTTGTCCTCATTTTTCACGTGTTCCAATCTATATTTTTCCTCCACGCTTCTCCAAAAATCGATTTCAACTGCTAGTAAATGTTCCTTAAGTTTTTGCCCAAAACAACTGGTTTCAATATGGTATCATATATTGTAACGGAAATGGCCTGGGGTACTCACGTTTGGAATGGGGATCGAAATTCATGGTATTTCAGTAAATGGGAGCCCCATTTGGGCCCCATTTACTGTCAAATATGACACTGACAAGCGGG